GGACCTACCACAGGGGACCTGGGAGTAGATGACCTGGGGACCTACCACAGAGGACCTGGGAGTAGATGACCTGGGGACCTACCACAGGGGACCTGGGAGTAGATGACCTGGGGACCTACCACAGGGGACCTGGGAGTAGATGACCTGGGGACCTACCACAGGGGACCTGGGAGTAGATGACCTGGGGACCTACCACAGAGGACCTGGGAGTAGATGACCTGGGGACCTACCACAGAAGACCTGAGGACCTACCACAGGGGACCTGGGAGTAGATGACCTGGGGACCTACCACAGAGGACCTGGGAACCTACCACAGGGGACCTGGGAGTAGATGACCTGGGGACCTACCACAGGGGACCTGGGAGTAGATGACCTGGGGACCTACCACAGAGGACCTGGGAGTAGATGACCAGGGGACCGACCACAGAAGACCTGAGGACCTACCACAGGGGACCTGGGAGCAGATGACCTGGGGACCTACCACAGGGGACCTGGGAGTAGATGACCTGGGGACCTACCACAGGGGACCTGGGGACCTACCACAGAGGACCTGGAAGTAGATGACCTGGGGACCTACCACAGAAGACCTGGGAGTATATGACCTGGGGACCTACCACAGAGGACCTGGGAGTAGATGACCAGGGGACCGACCACAGAAGACCTGAGGACCTACCACAGGGGACCTGGGAGCAGAGGACCTGAGGACCTACCACACAGGACCTGGGCGCGGTACCCTGGTTAGCGGAGTCCCGGGGTTTATATGTCATTCATATAACTGTGATCTAGAAGGAGGTTTTCTTTACTTGATCTGAATTGTTAAACACTTCTTCCCCATTTCATGTCTTCAGCAGGTACCCATCACTAGGCGGAGGAGGTGCCATCAGTGATTTGGAACCCGCAGTCCTCGGCCCAAAGGAATCTGGCTTCTTCTCGACCCCCCAACACCAGAACAAGCCCCTAAAACTGACCCTGCAGAGCAACTCCCCAAATTACAGCCAAATCCTGCAGAGGTATCAGGAGCTTCAGAGAGGGGCGCGGACTGTGGTGCCACATAACAGCAGAATGAACACACCGAGGATCACACCACGGGTGACCTGAGCGGGAGGAGTGCACACAGGGCCAGCTGGGCTTTGGTCACTGCTGGGCCTCTACATGCGGTAGTGCAGAGCCTGGCAAGCTCTGAATGTTTATCATTGTCTCCTATGGACATCCGCCCGCCTGCTGACAGAATACAGAGGACACCAGTCACACCACTGCAATGGACCATACCGGAGACAAGGCCTGGCAGCAGCAGTGTAACACTAATGGCACAGCCTACAAGCCCAGGAGGTTTGTCATTCGGCTGTTACCTTAATATTCCATGCCACCTACCTGTGCAAAAACCCTCGCCCTATAGACAATATGATGTTCTGGGCATACACAAAGTGGACCTTTCAGTGGCTTTATAAGTCTATACATTCCTAACATGACACAATATACAACAACGGTATCATTTCTCCACAAAGCGCCACCTTTTATCATTAAAAAACCCCTCCTTGATCTCCAATCAGTGACTTTGCCTAGGCTGAGATGATATCATCAGTCTGCTACAAGCAGGAGGAAGCATTTCCTCAGTCTCTTCTCCCCCAGTGATCAGTCTGCTGCAGGCAGGAGGAAGCATTTCATCGGTCTCCCCTCCCCCAGTGATCAGTCTCCTGCAGGCAGGAGGAAGCATTTCCTCAGTCTCCTTTCCCCCAATGATCAGTCTGCTGCAGGCAGGAGGAAGCATTTTCTCCTCAGACTCCTCTCCCCCAGTGATCAGTCTGCTGCAGGCAGGAGAAAACATCTCCTCAGTCTCCTCTCCCCCCGTGATCAGTCTGCTGCAGGCAGGAGAAAACATCTCCTCAGTCTCCTCTCCCCCCGTGATCAGTCTGCTGCAGGCAGGAGAAAACATCTCCTCAGTCTCCTCTCCCCCAGTGATCAGACTGCAACGTTGTAACTTTGTAGTCAGACACTGCAGCAGGGGGTAGATCGGTGTCAGACATTTGTGAGACAGACTTTTTATTTGGCTGTATCATCTCTGAGCCGGCATCTCGGTCCAGGAAGTAGATGGTGGATGATGCCTGAATAAACATGTTGCTGTCCTTTTGGAGAGAAAAGCAGATGAAGACATTGTCAGGAAATAGTATGATTTCTGTGAGCGGTAATAAAGACCTGGAAGTGTTACACTGTCACATGGACATGAACAAATACTGTATATCTGATGCCAGGTCTAATTTATTTCCAAGATAGATGAAAGTAGTCACTCGCACTCCATGATATTAAAGTCAATGCTGTTTATTGACTGAGATAACACACATCTCCTTAGCGACGTTTCGAGACCAAGTCTGCAAGTTGCGTGTATTAACATGCTTGCAGAAACGCAGTGCAAATACGTGAAGCCGGTCTTAAAGTGCACCTGTGTCCAGGCTATGAACACTATTTCCATATTCTTAACAAGCAGTATAGGCGCTTCAAAGCAAACCATCCCTGACCTCTGTAGCTGCATGCACTGTGAAGTAATTCATCCTCAAGTATCACAACAAAGTCTCTAAGTCCTGGTTCACACTGAGCGTTTTGTAGTGCTTTTTTCTGCCCTAGAAAATGCTCAAAACATCTGCTCCCCCCCAAAAAAATCCCCTTCATTCCTATGGCCCTGTTCACATCTGAGCCGTTTGTCGCAATAAACAAAACGCCTGTCGCTGGAAGAAGTACAGGAGCTTTATTTTTCGCATATTACAGCACGTTTTGGCCCCATAGACTCAATAGGAAACGCTTGGAAACGCCTGTTTGCTGTGTTTTTGAGCGGTTTTATGTGCGTTTTATGCACTTTTTCAAACTAACATCAATGAGCTACAATCTGCTCACAAAAACGCACTTTTTGCCTTATGCACATAAAACGCGCAAAAAGCGACGTCAAAAACACACATCACAAACGATCGTTAAAATGCGCAAAAACGCTGTCGCCTAGGTGTGACCCAGGCCTAAAGGGGAGATTGTTGCTTACATCAGCAGCATTGGCCAATGCAATCCAAACAGAAGAACAAAGCCATTGGCACTATTTCCAGAGGCTTCAGGTCACAGCAATAGGACACGTTACTTGCCTGATCCTCGGTCAGCGCTCACCTCCACTCTGGCTGTAGAATGTCCACATGTCTAATACAAGTCAATGGACCTGCATAGGACGTGATGATGTCAGCGGTCCTTAGACCACTGGCGCCCGGGAGAGAAGAGGCTGTGGGAACTTGTCTAGCAGCCTGGCAGGATCGAGGATCAGGTGAGTAAATCTGCTTGATTTGACCACCCTATACAAAATGAGCACCTAACCCTTGCAGTGCATGGCTAGCCCCAGTGCAAAGGTAAGTTTTTAAAATTCCTGGAGTTCTTCTTTAAATTAGAAGGCTGTCAGTCTGCAAACTTGCTACTGCCACAGAAAGCAATGGAGCTGTGATTTCAGTGCCTCTGTTGAGAATTTTAAGGATGAATGTTTCCACACTGTTTATAGCTACAGAGGTGCATCAAGGTGTATGGTAAAGTACTGTTACTGCTTGTGGATGAAAAATCACTGGCGCCAAACAACCGTGGCAACTCTCAAACCCAGCTTCAAACACAGAGGGGCAGCTCCTCACAGTAAGGGCAAACCGGTTATCTAGAAAAACAGAGCAAAAGGAGCGCCTCCGTAGTGTAAAACTGATTTAATAAAGGTAAAATACAGTTGGAAATGTACCTACAAACGTCTGTTAAAAACGAGCATTGAATAAAACGCTGTAGGTTCTGAGGAAAGGGGTTTAACCTCTGAAACGCGTCAACCGGAGGAAGATCAGTGTTTAGATGGCCTTGGCTTAAACACTTATTCTTCTGATTTCTCTACTTCGTTCCCTCGTTTGTCCATCTTGATCCTCTGGAGACCGTTCTATTCATTGCTCGTTTTTAACAGACGTTTGTAATTACATTTCCAACTGTATTTTACCTTTATTAGATCAGTATTACACTATGGAGGCGCTCCTTTTGCTCTGTTTTTCTAGATAACTGTTACTGCTTGTTCAGAATATGTAAATACATTAATGTGCGTAGTCTGGGGACAGGTTTGTCTTTTCCGCACGTCAATGCAGGTACACAGGTAAGATGACGCTGGTTCACCTCTGTGCTCTCCATTGACATCTGGCGTCCATGATTTGATGCATGGTAATGTATTGAGGAGAATGGCAGCACGTGGAAATGAATGAACATACACACATGGAAAGATGTGAATCCAGCCTGATCAGCATGTCATTGGCTGATGGATGCCCCTAAAATTCTACAGTGACCATTCAAGGTGAGTTTAATGGTCAGTGAGGTCTGCATAGACGTAGTACTGCCCGGTCTGGGAATCTCCAGTCTGTTGGTCATAATATAGATCCAGAACCAAACATTTGGGTCTTTAGAATCCTCCTGACATTTCTGTGACTCAATGGCGTCAGTCTGGAGTTCTGGACAAACTCACTTTCACAGAACCATCCGAGGAGCGTCAGTACACGGTACAAGTAAACACCACCAGCAGGCGGTATATATAGAGAGGCGGTCTGTGTTTATTATTAGCCGTCTGTTCCTGTCTTACGCGGAGCGTGGGAATAACCTTCCCCCTAAACTTTCTGCAGATGGATCTAAATATTTGAGAGAGTCCAGAATCCCGTGACGGGGCTTGGCCTATGTTCCTGAAGGGTTCTGTAGATTAACTCCTCATGACAAACCCTCCTGAAGTGTCACCACGTATATCAGGTCTGAAAGAAGCTTGTGTTTTTTCTTTTTCTAAAGTGGTACAAAATGTTTAATACAAGCGGAGTAAATACCTGAATGTGACCTGGTATCAGCTTCTTGCAGGCCCTGTACAGCAGGGCTGGAGTGTTAAAGAAATAAGCTGTACATGGAGCCAATCAGTTCATGTGATGATAAGGAATATGCTGGTAGGAGGAGAGAGCAGAGTGACAGAGAGTTGAGCCCATCAATGTGCTGCTTCTCCTTTCACTGTCCAATCACAGACAGGGGCGGGTCCAGGACAAGATAGGCTCAGCAGCAGTGGGTTGAATGATGCTTGTCAAAAGTCTGAAGACATCTAGTGTCAGAAAATAAGTAGTGCCGGGGAAATCTCTGGACTGAAGGTGAATATTGCTGTGAATTTGGTTTTGTTTTCTCTTGTAATGAGCTATTCATTTTTATCTTGTTCTGCTTCAAAGTGTATGCAGAGCTTTTTTGTTATTTTTGGATAGAGTACAGAAGAGTTAAAACTAGACGTGCATCGAAATTGAATTTTCAGACCGAAACTGAAAATAAAAAAATTGTCAGGCCGAAACTGTAACCGAAACTGATTTTTGTTTCTAACCTTTTTAAAATGTTTTTTAATAATTTATTTTTAGTTTTTTTTTCACTTTACTAAAGAGACCCCTGATATTTCCCTTTTCAGAGCACTTGCAGAGCACTTCCTGTTCATGCATAATTGGGGACACAGTATACCTGCTATATCCTCAATTATTTACAAATACTCGGCGATCAGCTGATTGTTGAGTGCTTGTAACCGCTCTCCATCCTGATGCTTTCGGCTGTCACAGGAGGCCGATCGGGGAGGTGCAGGAGGAGAGCTCGGCCTCATGTGACACCGCCTCTGACTGTGCTCTCCTCCCCGCCCTGCTCGGCCTCCTGAGCGTTTCTCTCCTCCCCGCTGGACGCTGCTGTGTATCAGAGGGGACAAAACGCAGCGCCCAGCAAGGAGGAGAGAACCCACGGCAGCACCACAATTTCGGCTGAAAAATGGTAGTTTCTGCATTTTGAACGATATGGTTCTGCGGCTGAAATTTCGGTGCATCCCTAGTTAAAACCCCAGTCAATTTATTCGTTTGTAGTCTGTTTCCCTCTGGGGGGATTTCCTTTTAATCCCTGTCCAGGAGGCACAGCAGTGTGGGGGAATCTCTGCAAAGCAGTGGCTCTACAAGCTGTAGCGATCTGTGTCAGTGGGGACAGATTGTCGATTACAGCCTGTAAGGAGAGCCCTCCGACAGTCTGTGAGCTCCCCCCCCTGCAGTCTACTCCCCTCTCCGCGGCGTCTGCGATCGTCTTCATTCCAGCAGCTGACCACAATAGCCAGCCTGCTATTGGTTCTTTTAAATTGCAGTAGCCAATAACAGGCTGGCTATTGCACCCACATACTGTCAGCTGTCAATCAACAGAGGTGGACCTGATAAAAAACTTCAGGTCCCTCCTCTGCTGATTGACAGTAGGCAGTGGGTGGGTGCAGTAGCCAGCCTGTTATTGGCTATTGCAATTTGAAATATTGACTATGTTCCTTTAAAAACTTTCCAGTTAGTCCATTTCCTGATGATTCGGCAGACTCTCAGCTCCATACGCAGCAGCTGGGTTTTTGCAAGGCTGTAGATTGTTCTGTAGCATCTGTTGGGCATGTGTCTTTTTTTCAACGTAACTATGTAAGGCAAAAATAGTGTTCTAATAAACGTCACAATTGTTTATGATACACAGTGCACAGAGCGAACATTCACTCAGGGTTCACATATACTTTAACGTTCTAGGTGAGACCAGTAATGGGCGCCTGAGAGCATTTCTAGTTCTCAGATTCAACTCATATGATCATGGTGACAGATATGACATTGGTTTGTTTACAAACAATGCTGCCGCCTCATGATGTCACAGTGCCTGGCACAGAACGGGGCACAGTGACAGCTGAAGCCAGCACAATGTTAAAAGAATATAAAAAATATGACCGTTTGTATGTTACATACTTTTGGTTTGCTATCTAATTACAATTGTTTTTTTTTCATTTGTCAAACGTGAGGTATTTCTTAAACAGTACACAAAAAAAAGCCTTATAGGTCCCTGGAGACACATTATTTAGGTGTGTGAATTATTCATAGGCTATTCATAGGCAGGTGAATTATTCATAGGCTTATTGGCATGCGCACGTTAACAGATGCGTACTGACGATGATAAATGTGGCCTGGACATCCAGGCTGCAATAACCCCTGGAAACAAAAGGGTTAAACCTTTTTCCCTGCAGAGTCCAGACACATAGCACCCAACCTCACACACCATGAAAATCTTTTTTTTTTTGTCTATATGTATCAGTATATATTAAATTCTGTCAGTAAAATTATTTTCTACGTTTAGCCCCCGTTCACACCTGAGCGGTTTGTCGCATGATTCCTGAAGCGCGACAATGCTCCACATGTAAGGATCCAATTTTGTGTTGCATGGAAAAATAAATGAGCTTATTTTTGGGCAGAATTGGCCATTTTGGGGCCTACAGACTTTAAGGCCTGTTTCACACCTCAGCGTTCCTGCTTTTTTTATGCGCATTTTATGTTGCACATTTTATGCACGCTTTTATGCGCATACGGCAAAAAGCGAATTTTTTTAATCAGATTGTAGCTCATTGATGTTAATGAGAAAAAGTGCATAAAACGCACATAAAATGTGCAAAAATACAGCAAATGGGTGTTTTCAAGTGTTTCCTATTGAGTCTATGGGGCCAAAACAAGCTATAATATGCCAGAAAAAAGCTCCTGTACTTTTTCCAGCGACAGGCGTTTTGCTTATTCCGACAAAGCGTTCAGATGTAAACAGGGCCATAGGAATGAATTGGATTTTTGGGGGGGCAGTTTTTTTTAGGGTTTTTTAGACCCCGTTCACATTGAGCGATTTATCGCGCGGTAATTCCCGCGATATCGCGGCAAATTACCGCGCGATATCGCGCTCCAATGCAATCCAATGGGGCAAAGGGTCCTGCTGTCGCGGGTCGTGTGTCGCTACAGCAGGACCCTTTTTGGAGCGGATTTAGCCGCGATTCAAGCTTGCTCAATGCAAGCTTGAACGCGACATCGCGCGGCAAATCTCGCGATGTCGCGCAATATGCAAATCGCGCGACAAACGCGCGATTTGCATATGGCGCAGTGGGTACGGGGCCTTAGGGGAGAAAGAGCGCTACGAAATGCTCAGTGTGAACCAGGACTAATGGGCACGTAACCCACGTTTTTCTTACAATTTTGTGCCTTACAACCGTCTCCTCCTAGTATTAGGCTTTCCATTGGCTAACACAAAAAAAACACTGAAGCCTGAAAATGTGAAAATCCCAAATATAACCTTGAAAACCACCTGGAAACACTCCGATGTCAATGGAGCGTGATAAATTCATTTGTCCGTTTTGTTTCATTGATACATAATAACACACTGGAGATAAAGCTGTCAGTAAATGTTTACCAATCCGTCAGTAAAAAACAGATTTGTGCAATTCTGCGGCTTCCGTGTCACTGGTCACGTACGCTGTCAGAAACTGTATTTAAAGCTGTCAGTAGAAAAAACAAAGAATGAAATTCCTGTTTTCCATACCTGCAGATTATTTTCAGTTTCTGTGTTTTTATGTAACACAACAAACACAACCACTGCACCCAACTGTCAGTAAATGTTTATAAGCAGGATATCTGAAATAAATAAAAGATTCAAACACATTCGATGCTGTGCGATTATTGGCCTCCTGCGGTCTGTGTGTCTGCGCTCCGCATAACAATGCGTTGGGGACAAGTGCTAGCTGTCATCAAACATTTATATATCTGTCAGTAAAAAAAGATATAGCCAATGTTCTTGCTGCCCTGCAGATTAAAATGTGCATCCTTTTTGTTTTTTCCTCCACTCCGTTCAGCTAGGATTTAGTGCTCTGCGCATACAGACTTGCTAGGATGTGATGCTTTTGCAGAAGTAGCTGGCAGAGGAGATAGGGACCCATTAAACTGCGTTACATTACAGGACTGTACGTGAAACCTGTGCAATGGGGGGAGATTGGAGGGGAGGGGGGAGAGAGAACATTGGTAGAGGATGGATAGCTTGGGAAGGAGGAGGCAGACGAAGGGGAATCACTGCAGAGCAAGAGGCAGAGGAGGAGGGGAATTAACAGAGGAATCCCCCAGAATACAGACACACATCAGAAGGATTGGATACAGGCAGTTCGGGGCGCACACACTGCAAGATAGCAATAAGAAGAGAGCAGGTAGGGGGAGGGGGGGGGGGCGCAGACCATCCGCAGAGGGTCCCCCGATTTGCACTATAAGCTGTTGGAAGCCCCCCAGTGGGGATGGCAGAAGATGCCAAAATCAGGGGGTCCCCGAGAAAAGATCAAGGCTTGAGGGGTGCAGCTATCCTGCACCAACAAAGGCGCCTCAAACAAGCCACCCAGTTTGTTCACAAGGATTCTGCAGATCTGCTGCCACTGGATGGACAGTATCGAGATGCGTCACTGTTAAAATATTCGCTTGAATACGTGCGAACAGCATTGTGAGGGTTTTATATCCAGTGTGCCCCGTCAGTGCTGAACAGGTCTGACCAGAGGTGACAAGGCAATTTCTGTATGACACTCTGGCGAAGGTTTGGCGAGCACAAACGACAATCGCAGCATAAGAAAACAATGGCTCCTGAAAATCAGGAGTAATTGGACAAAAAGATTTTCCAATTTGTCAGTAGATTATTCTTGATAATGGTTATTGATACAAGTGATCATTTTAGTGTAAAAGGGTGATGGAATGATAGCAGCTAATACTGTTCAAGATACAGAAAAAAGCGACCAATCAACCGACTACTGCATAGAAAGATGGCAAAATATATGTTACTATTATTTGTTACTTCCTGTTATTCTAATAATGCAAAGACATCGAGTCTTCAAAGAATCCTACAAATAAATAGTCCCGGTATTGCCCAACTAAAGGATGCATGAAGAGGAACATTCACTGAATGCAGCAGAAAAGGGACTGCTAGGGGGTGTCACTGAAAATCACAGGATACAGCAAAAAGGGAGTTCTCAGGGGTGTCACTTTCAGTCCACTGAATGCAGGAAGAAAGGAGTGTTCAGGGGTATCACTGTCAGTCTACTGGATGTGGGAAAAAAGAGGTGCTCAGGGGTGTCACTGTCCGTCCACTGGATACAGGAAAAAGTGGAGTGCTGGATAGACGAAAAAGAGGAGTGCTCAGGGGTGTCACTGTCCGTCCACTGGATACAGGAGAAAGAGGAGTGCTCAGGGGTATCACTGTCAGTCCACTGGATGTAGGAAAAAGACTAGTGCTCAGGGGTGTCACTGTCAGTCCACTGGATACAGGAGAAAGAGGAGTGCTCAGGGGTATCACTGTCAGTCCACTGGATGTAGGAAAAAGAGTAGTGCTCAGGGGTGTCACTGTCAGTCCACTGGATACAGGAAAAAGAGGAGTGCTCAGGGGTGTCACTGTCAGTCCACTGGATGCAGGAGAAAGGGAGTGCTCAGGGGTGTCACTGTCAGTCCACTGGATACAGGAAAAAGAGGAGTGCTCAGGGGTGTCACTGTCAGTCCACTGGATACAGGAAAAAGAGGAGTGCTCAGGGGTGTCACTGTCAGTCCACTGGATGCAGGAGAAAGGGAGTGCTCAGGGGTGTCACTGTCAGTCCACTGGATACAGGAAAAAGAGGAGTGCTCAGGGGTGTCACTGTCAGTCCACACTCTGCAGTGCTGCGGGTGACAGCAGGCTTACAAACATTCCTGCTTACACTTACAGAAGGGGACGAGGCCGGTTTGCTAATCCAAAGCCTATTCTTCTTCCTCAGTGAGCAGCCCACAAGGACAGTGCCATCCATTACCTGGCAGCCATCCTGCATGAGTAACACAGAACTGACAATCTTCTAATTGCTGTACGAATGGCCTGGTTGGCATCACTGTGTAGATTGCTGGGTGATGTACAGAATGCTTCGCACTCATTGCCAGACTGCCATCAAATGAATATTCTCTGCGTCATCTTCATGTGACAAACACTCGAATGTTACTCAAATGCAGGAAAGTAAAAAATAATTTTTTATGAGTTTCACTGACTGACAGTCTTTATATTTCCGTGTTTTGTATGGACTGTCCATTTTTCTGGACGGTTGATAACCTGGGGTAGGGGGCTCATCGTCTCACCAATTTCAGTATCAGCATCAGGATACAGATCCAGGTCATTGAGAAGATTAGAAGATCTTTAAGGTTTTTACTGCAATCTGGGGCTCTACTAGAGAGATTTCCCCTCACTTCCTGTCCCGGTGACAACAGTTTCACCAGGCAGGAAGTGAGAGAAAATCTGCAATATGGACACAGACAGCAGTATAAATCTGACGGGATTCTGGCCTTCCTCTGCTCTACTAAAAGAAAAAAACAAAGGTTTAGTTTTATAATCATTACATTCTATAGAAAATATTAATTGTTTAGATAAATGTTTCTTGCTAGTGACAGATGAGGATTGTCTGTGTGTAGGGGGTCACAGTCCTCTTAATAAGGTGATAGATTACTAAATTGTACACTGTAAAGGGAAATTGAACTCTGTGTGGTATCACTGCTGACGGGGGGCTCTTTTTTTCTGAATACAGCAACCTTACAGTGTGATCCAGAGGCGTCTTCTAGGCGGAAGCCCCATTAAAGAGACCAGCAGCTTGGCAAAATCTCTCCACCTCTGTAACCTAGAGGTGCAATCTACCAACGATTCAACCGAAGTAGAAGCGAGGATAGAGGAAGACTCCGATAGTGTCCAGGACCAGCCAACAGCTCCCAACACCTCTAAGGAGACTCCGGGGAGCTGGGCACAATGCAGCCTGGTGATCAGCTGTAAGGTGAGACACACAGGACACAATTCACACAAACGCACAACAGTAGCAATCTACAAAAGAGCCCTGGGGCCATGCTAAAAACAAAAAATGAAACAAAATTCTGACATTTAATGTCAGAATTCTGTGTTTAAAAATCAGAATTCTGTGTTTAAAATTCTGACTTTCGAACTCAGAATTCTGACTTTAAATGTCAGAATTCTGACTTTTAATCTCAGAATTCTCACTTAAAAAAATTAGAATTTTGACTTTCAATCTTAGAATTTTAACTTTAAAAGTCAGAATTCTGAACTTGAATGTCAGAATTGTGAGATTAAAAGTCAGAATTATGAGTTTCAAACTCAGAATTCTATACACAGAATTCTGAATTTTAATCTCAGAATTCTGACTTTTAATCTCAGAATTTTGACTTTCAGTCTCAGAATTCTGACTTTCAAACACAGAATTCTGGCTTTTTTACAGCATGACGCTTTTAAATACAGAATTCTGACATTAAAAGTCCGAATTTTGTTTCTTTTTTTCGGGCTCTTCTGTACACCAGCTCTTCCAGGGCTTTTCCGTACACCAGCATCCCCGCTGGGATATTTATTGCCTAACTTCATTCGATTTTTCTATGGCTTTGGATAGAGGAAAAAAGACTTACACTTTGTATCTTTATTTCATTTTTTTTGGTCTGTGACCTTATCAGAGGGACCATCCCTCACTTCCTGTCCCTGTGACACCCATAGTAGAAATGGGGAACTGGGCGTCACCAAGACAGGAAAACAGCTAAAAGTTTCCCAGCACACTCGCCAGCCAGCATGCAAAAAAACCTTGTCTCATCGCTAAGGTTAAAAACCAAGACAGGAAAGGCACAGACAGTAATAAAAAAACATTGCCAGAAAACCTATCCCTTCTTTACTCTCCTAAATCTATGATACTACTAAAACTATAACTTCCATACATCTTAACAGGAAGCGAGTAGAAATCCACAGGTGGCAGTAAAAACATGGCAGAGGCTGTAACCTTTCTACGTTCCATCAACAACTAAATAAGAGGTTTTGGCTGTAGCTGGGTTTGAACTAGAAATCCCACTCAACACAGGAACAACTAGAGATTTTAAAGAGTCAGTCCACTTCAACTTCAACTTTGGTTATAAGTGGAGCTTGTTGGGCTGAGCATGTTGGGCTGAGTCACCCTCTGGCTTCTTATATGTCCTGGATACTCCAACTGTGAGACCCCCCTGCTATAATTCCCGGCTCTGCTCCTGTCCATATGAGGGATTTGGGTGTCCCCGCCTTTGTGTGCTCCAGCTCCTCGTGCTCCATTCTCCATAATAGTTGCAGGGGTTCAGACTAGATTTAGAATGATGGAAGTTTGCAGTTTTCTAGGCTCTGCTATCTAAGCTGCTCTTATAACAAAGTTATAACGCACATGATCTATGTCTGATGTTAAATCTTCTTCTCTTCTCACAGGTGTGCACACAGGAAGTCTCTTGTAAGCTGTCTATTGAACGTTATGAGAACCTTATCTCCAGGCCGTGTGTACAAAGACTGGGGTAAGATGGGGTCCCAAATCCTAGCAGCCTAGTCCCTTTCCTTAGGCCAAGAGGTTGATCTGCATGCATGTCCCCTCTGTATACTCACCAAGCATGAGCAGCTGCTCATGCTTTTACATAGGCCACGAATACAGCAAATTTTATACAGCATGATGTGATTAGCAGGTGGTGGCGCTTGCCAAAGCGACCATTGAAAATAAGAGGACCACACTTGCCAAAGTAACCATTGAAATTGATAGGACCACACTGCAAACAAGGGGATATGGGATTGCAGTATGGCATTGCAATAGGAAATTCCCATTTGGATTTAAAAAATGGCATTCAGGAGTTGGCACTTCTCTAATGCCCTCTGATAAAAGTGATCCACCAAGCAAACAAATACGGAGTATACTGTATATAGATCTTTCCCTAGAATTGTTTACAAACAAACATTTTAGATACATTGGAGCAATTGAATTATTTTGCCTTTAATCAACCTTTTTGCTTTCTAATATACAGGGCAGTATTACAGATAGAAATCTATTGGTGTCCTTTCCCAATGCAGACTCTACATTAATGTTCTCCGGCCGAGAGAATGTTGCCCCTACTTTCCATTTTAGAATTAGGAGTGTGTGCCTGTGCATGCTCCTAGTTCTCAGATTGTCCTGATGGAATTATTCAGCATGGTTACCATAACATCAACGTGTGATCATCAGACAGCCAATCACGGTGATCACGTGAGCTTTTTTTTAAATTAACAAACCAACCTAACGGCTTCAATTAGAACAGGGGAGGGTAACTCCGGCCCTCCAGCTGTGCTTTAACTACAAATCCCAACAAGCCGCTGCCTCTGGGAGTCATGCCTCTGCGACTTCTTCTGCAATTGGAAAGATGCCATTGTAGGTAGTCGTCCCAGAATTTCACAGATCCTCAGACATGGCTGGGAATCCGGTTATGTGCATGTGGAAATCTTCTCACCCTTATCTATCATGCAGTTTTATGGCATTAACTGTTTCATTTTCAGGCTGCAGATGCTGAGTGACCCTCAGGGGAGGGTGACAGTGGACATCGAAGTTGGGAACGAGAAACTGACAAGCAGCGCTGTGATTGTTGGTAAGATAAAGACAGATCCCAGCAGGGGACACGTCACAAACATGGAACGATCACACGGGGCACTATGACATTACAGAGGAACACAAACCAGGATAAATGTCGGGGGTCCGAGCAGTGGCGTCACAAGGGGGGTGCGACCCGCACCCAGGTGCCACCATTGGAGGGGTGACACCAAAATGACTAACAGTCATTTTGGTGTCACCCCCTATGAAAAGTCGGGCACTCGTTTACAGATGGACGTCCATCACCAAGATGCAAGCGTCAATAAGACAACTGCGCACGCGCGATGACGTCACGGCGGGGGGTGTCATG